TTTCTGGGTTTGGTTCTTGCCCTTCTGAAGGGACTGTTCTTGTAGCCCTTAGTGGGAAGGGGACACAGATGACCTGAGCCTCGTCATGGAGTGGCAGTGGGGTATGGAGGCAGCCTTTTTTATTCACCTTCCTTTTCTTCCATCTCTTCTATCCCCAAGGCTCTGTGACTGTCAATTTGGGAATGGGGGAGGGGGCAGTTTAGGACTGGGGTGGATTTTCAGAAGAACATCTATAATATCCTATTTATATAAGTCTTCCTCTGGGGAAAAGGAGTGGTTTCTGGCTCAATCCTATCTCAGACTCAAGGAGAAACAAAATAAAGATTCCAGGCGGCCTGGGCTATAGCCTGTCTTTTAAGAAATGGGGCTGGTAGAAGCTGTTTATCACTTGGAGAGCATACAAACTCTGGCCCTCTCTTCCGTGGGTCTTTGGCTCCTGGGGAGATGATTTCTGCCTTCTAAGAAGGCAGCACAGATGACCTGAGCCTCGTCATGGAGTGGCAGTGGGGTATGGAGGCAGCCTTTTTTAGTCACCTTCCTTTTCTTCCATCTCTTCTATCCCCAAGGCTCTGTGACTGTCAATTTGGGAATGGGGGAGGGGGCAGTTTAGGACTGGGGTGGATTTTCAGAAGAACATCTATAATATCCTATTTATATAAGTCTTCCTCTGGGGAAAAGGAGTGGTTTCTGGCTCAATCCTATCTCAGACTCAAGGAGAAACAAAATAAAGATTCCAGGCGGCCTGGGCTATAGCCTGTCTTTTAAGAAATGGGGCTGGTAGAAGCTGTTTATCACTTGGAGAGCATACAAACTCTGGCCCTCTCTTCCGTGGGTCTTTGGCTCCTGGGGAGATGATTTCTGCCTTCTAAGAAGGCAGGCCACGTCTCAGGCACAGACCAGATTTGTTGACCTTGCACTCCAACTACAGTGCCTTACAAGTGCTCAACAGTACACATTGGAATGAAGTCCCCATGAGAGCCATTACTGACCATGTCCTATACCTCAAAGTGAGGCTGGCAGGTGCAGAGATGGACTGCACACAACTGGTACCTTTAAGTCATCAGGAAGACCCCTGTGCTTGAAAATCTTTCCTCTACATCATACCTGAAGTCCCATCATAACCCTCCATTTCCTTGGCTTTAGCATTTCCATTCTCCTATAAATACCTTTTCCTGGGAGGAGTAGCACACTAGTTTTCTCTTGATGTGAACGAGATGCCAGGCCCTTTTCTCCTGTGCATGCCAGGATGGACAAAGCAGAGGACACTGGAGGCCAGCATCTTCCTCTCTGATGGGCTCACAGCTGGCCCTACTCTCTCGCTGTCCACTGCTTTGTTCCTTACCTTGCTGATGTGGCTTGACCTCCTCTGTTCGCTCTACTGCCAGTGTTCTCCCAGGGTTGCCAGTGCCCTTCTTGTGCTAAATCTGGCAGGCCCTTTCATATCTCCTCTTCCTGGGTCTCGGCAGCACCTGACAGGGCTGATCACTTCCTGCTTCTTGAGTCACATTTCCCTGGAACTTCTGTGGCTTATTTTCCTATCCTTCTGGCTGCTCCGTTCAATTTCCTATGCAGACCTCTCCACTCACCCACGCACAATGGGGTCTCTCAGGGTTCTGTTGTGGGCTCCATGGGGAAGCCCAACAATGTTGATGGCTTAAAGGACTCTATCGAGGAATCGAGAGTTGACCACCAGCCCCAATGTCCCTCTTGATCTGAACCACAGTTCTGCTGCTTTCTGGGTGCACAGACAACTGAAGTTCATGGCTCAGATGGCACTTGTTGCTGTCCTCTGCAAACCTGACCCTTTTGGGTACCTGCCTTGGCCCCAAGCTCACTCAGGAGCCAAGCAGGAAACCTGCTTTCTATTCCTGCTTTCTCTTTCTGCCCCCAACATCCAGCCTCTAAAAACTGTCAAGTCTATCTTCTTAACAACTCTTGTCTTGAGCCACTCCCACTGGCATCACCTTTCACCAGGATTATTGTGACAGCTTCCTGCTGCTTCTCTATCCCATGGCTGGAGTTGTCTTTCTCAAATGCACAGTTGATCAAGTCACTCCTGGCCTAAAACCTTCCATGGCTCCCCACTGCCCTTAGGGTAAAGTCCATACCCCTTAGCCTGGCTCATGAGACTCGTGGTGTCCTGGTTTCACCTCTCTGACCTCATCACTTGCCTCTTGCACTCTGGGTCCCAGCCTTCTGTTTCCAGAGATGCCATGGCTCTCTCTTGCCACTTTGATTCCTCTTTCTTCTGCTCACCTCAGTACTTTCTCTGTCAAGTCTCCAGCTTAGATTTCACTTCCTCCTGGGAGCTTTGGATGTCCCCTGTCCTCCCACAACTCCACCCCATCACACCACACATTTCACTCTAGTCTTACTCGCCTGCTTTATGGTCTGTTTCCCCATTAGACTGTAAGCTCCTTGAGGGCAAGGACTGTCCTTGAATTTTTGTATCAACAGTGTCTGGCTTGCTGCCTGGCACCTAGAAAGCACTCAATAAATGTTTGTTAAATGAAAGAATTGTAGTGATGTGTTCAAGGGGATGCAGGGGATCCAGGATAGATTCCTGGAGGAAGTACACATGCTTTCATAGTCTCAAATTGAAGCCACAGATTCTCCTGTGCCTCCCTGAACTGCAGAAGCCTCAGTGGCAGCTGAGAGTAAGGGATGGCAGCCCATAGTAGCAGAGAAGCCCATGCCAGGGTGACACATTAGCTGTCCTCTACCCCATTCTGGATCTGTAGATGAAGGGTGAGGCTTAGAGCCTGCAGCAGGAAGGACTTCATCTAAACAAGAGACATAATTTCCCAGTGGTCCCTCCATCCTGAAAGCCTTGTCCCTAGTGGGTTGGGGTGGGAAAATGGTGGGGTTGCCAAAGTGTCACTTTTACAAAGTGTCACTTTTTTCCCCCAGGATAGTGACTGACCCCCATTCTGAACCTTGGGGCTCTGCCCTAATTTGGATTCCCTGGGGCCCAAGAGATTTTGCAGAGAGAAGGGAGGACTGGGGTCTTGGCTTTTGATAGGGGGTGGGATGTGGGAGTGGGAATGGGGGTGGGGGGAGGGCTGGCTCCTATCTTTGAACTTGGGGGTGGGAAACCCATAGGTACTTCTCCCCCTTTCCTCCTCACCCTCAACATTAATCACCACACTTCAGCATTCACTGGGTTGCCTCAGGTAGAGAGGCTACCAAAATAACTTTATGGGGTGGTTTTGGAGGAGGGCAGGGCTGGGAGCCCTTGATGAGCTTGCATTGCTGCCAGGAAGGGTTCGTCAAATGTTTCACGCAGGTTCATGGCCAGGGTGTCGGTCCAGAAGGTGTCATCGCCCAAGTGTCGCTTGTGGGGTCCTTTCCTCATGCTGATGGGGTAAAAGCCCTGGGGCACCTTCATCCTGTATGGCCGTCTCCGTGGGTGCAGCATACGGACCATCACCTCAAAAGGTAGCCGAGGAACGGGCGCCACCCAGTGGCCATCCACTGTGTGCAGCTGTGCACCACCGTGCCCATCGGGCATCACCTTCAGGAACCTGCTGAAGTCATGCTCCCGGCTGGGGTCTGGATGCACGCCCAAGCGGATGCCCTGTGGGTAGTTGATATCAGTGGTGGGGAATGTGGCAGGGTTGTTGCTAAGATTCCACAACATGGGTCTCTTGACCGCGGGCTGACTGTAGTAGGGCTTGAGCGTCACCGCGGGCTGTGGTATGGGCTGCAGTTGCAGCTCCATGGAGGGATGGAAGCTCTTGAAAGGCTTTGACCCCTGGTACTCTGGGGTCTTAGAGACAGCGATGGCTTGGGCTTGCTTGGTACTGGGTGCCAGGGAGTGGCGTTGGTGCAGCAGTTTGCAATGGAGCCACTTCTTGAAATTGGCTTCTCTCAGAATTTTTTGCTTTTTCTGCAACAGAGGGAACAAGACAGTCATGGAGAGCTGCTCCCACTGTGCTGCTGTGGAAGTAGGCCCTGTGTCTGTAGCCTTTGGGAAGCTCAGGTCTGATTGGTGAGATACTGTCCTCACTGCAGGGAAACCCTGAGTCTAATGAGAGAAACACCTGCCTTATGGGAACTTTTGTTCTGGTGGAGGAGACAGCTTTTGTCCTAAGAGAGCCCCTAGGCTGATGACGGAGACAAAGCCTCTCTCATAAGGGAGACCTCCAGCCTGCTGGGGGAGATACAGCCTCTGCCATAGGTGAGCCTTTAACTTGCGAGGGGAGACAGTCCCTGCCCTGAAAAAAAACAAGTCTTATGGGGAGACAAACTTCCTCCCCGCAAAAGGAATCCCTAGTCTGACTGTGGAGACGTTTCCTGCCATAAGGGAGTCTCTGGTTTGACAGGGAGAAAGGCACATGAGAAATGCAAACTGCATCCTGAAAAAGCAGAAAGGTTTGGAAGGCCTGGAATTAGGAAGAGCTAATCTGGACAGGCTTCTTGGAAGGGAGGTGGGCCTTGAGAAGTCACGTAGGGGAGGATACAGCTGGCTGGCTCTCCAGGCTGGGTGGCAACTACTCGGTCCAGCTCTGTCGTTGTCTCCACTGGAGTTGACCCTTCCATCTGTTGCCGAGGAGTCTCCCCCACCCCCGTTGTCTCAGTATCTCACTCCCAGATTGTTGCTAAGCAATTGACCCAGCTTTAGGGGTAGGCTCTGATTAGGCTAAGCCAATCATAATAATTCCATCAGCCTTGTCCCAGACCTAAGTCAATCAGCATATTGCTTTCCTTTAGTTGCAGCCATTGGAACAAGATGGACACATGATCTACTTGAAGCCAATAAGGGATGAGGGGAGATCTGCAAGGGGCTTCTGGGAAAGGTTAGAGCCATAGGAAACAGATGGGCTTTGCCTCCTTTGGACAGGCGTATGACTGTGAGGGTTGATGACAAGGACAACAGAGGAGGCTTGGGCTGAGGAAACTGAAGAGAAATGCAGCTGAAACAGCTGGAGTACTGGATTTGCCAGCCCTGAAGCCCTCTGTATGACTGTGAGGGTTGATGACAAGGACAACAGAGGAGGCTTGGGCTGAGAAAACTGAAGAGAAATGCAGCTGAAACAGCTGGAGTACTGGATTTGCCAGCCCTGAAGCCCTCCCCACTTCAGGATTCACTTAATATTCCCAGCATCTTCTTTCTGTGTTTTCTATTTTTTGCATCCTATGTAATTATACCTGCTTAAAATCCCCTTTCTTCCTCCGTCAAGGTCTTTCATTGATCTGGGATCCTGCCAAATCTCTAGCGCGTCAATCTCCAACTCATGTCTGATCCCCCAGCTGTCCGGTATTTGCGGTCCTCTGCATACACTCTGTTTTTGCATGTGCCTCTATGCCTTTCCACATGGCTACTCATTCTGCCTGGTCAGCTCTTCCCTGCTTCATATGGCCAACTGCTGCCCATCTTATTTAAACACTCCTCTTGACTATCATCCCTTCTGACACCCTCCTGGACCCCCTCCTCTTCTGTGGGAATATAACCTGCCTCTTCTACTAGACTGTAAGCCTTTGAGTGGGGGGCCCATTTTGCTCATCTTTGGAGCCTCAAGGTCTAGCAGGTGCCTAGCACAGAGTGAGTGTGCAGTGTCTGTTAGGAAAAAGGATGGTTCTTCTTTTTAACCAGAGTGTGAGTCCCAATTACAAGCAGGGCCTGGTTTCATTCGAGATTCTCATACTGAAGGAGGCAGTGCACTAAGAGAGAAACTTAAATAATTTGCTAATTTAAGCTGTCTTTGCTTTCTAACACAGGACAAAGCTTTTGACCTAAAGGAATGTTTGTAAGTGTGGAATTTCAGTCAGTGTATGGGCAGAGGGAGGCTCTTTCTGGGTAGGAGTGCTTCCAGCCACTCTTCTGACCACAACACATGGGCCACTGCCTTCTCTGCCCACAGGCCTGGATAGCAGCTGGTGCTGGTGCCTCCGCCCAGCCCACCCCTTACTTGATACTCAATTAGGTAGTTCTGCTCCATGAGGGCCAGCTGGTCCTTCAGCCTCTCCAGTTTCACCATCTCCCGGGCAAAGTCCTTCTTGTCCCATTTCCACATGGCATCCTTCAAGAACCTGGTGCCAAGGTGGGGGCATGTTATCCCAAAGTGACTGAGCTTCCACCTGGGCTGGGCAGACCAGCTGTCCCTGAGGTTCTGGATGGGGGTGGGAGGAGCTGTCAGAGATGAGATGAGTAGGATGACCCATGCCCACTGCCCAGGGGCCCTCTGGCTAACTACTTCTTTGGAGGTGAAAGAGGAATGTGTCTGATGACTTGGTCTCCTGCTGAGGAGCCAGGGCCCAAGGGTAAGGAAGGAAGGCAATGCTTAAACCAAAGCGTGAGGCCTGGGGAAGGCTCTGCCAATAATATCCTGGGCAGGGGGCCTCCTCAGCAGACTTATCCCCCAGCCATCTGGCTTCCCAGACCCTCCCCTTAAAAGCTCATCCTTGGGTGAGATCCCTAGGGGAAGGGCTAAGCAAGAGGGAGGAGGGTGCCAGACTGCAGGTGATTCTCATACTCTCACCGGGCACAAGCGTGGTGGTTCCATATTTTGCAGTAGTCAATGGGCTTGCAGCCCGTAGCATCTTGGGCATGGACATTGGCGCCACTCTGCACCAGGACCTTCACACAGTCCAGCAGGTCCTCACGGGCTGCCAGGTGCAGGGGTGTGGAGCCATTGCATGTCCGACTGTGGAGGGCCCCACCAGGAGAGAAGAGGGCAGAAAGGAAGGACAAAGAGCATCTGCCCATCAGACAGGTGGGCAAACCAGCTTAAATCACTGCTCTGCCACTAGCCCACTGGGTGACCCTAGCTTTGACCCTTCTCCACTCTACTGCAATTTCCTGTACTGTAGAAGGAGGGAATGGACTAGATGAACAGTAAAAATCTGTTTAGAGGAGGTATGTGACAGTTGAGAACTGTGGAAGGAGAGCTGGGTTGGTTCAGAGACCACTAACCTCATCCACTCAAACCAACCAGCCCGCCACCCCATGCCTCACCATAGCCCACAAGGTCTGCATGACCTGAGCCCTGCTTCCTCCTCAACCTCATCCTCTGACCTTACCCCACTCTTTCCAACACATGGCCTTTGCATAGGATGTTCCCTCTGCCTGGAACACTTCCCTGGCTCTTTGCATGGCTGGCTCATTCAGTCTTCAGGTTGCAATTTAAATGTCACTTCTTTAGAGGTGATGGCCTCTTTCAAAATAGATTCTCCCCCTGCCCCCTTTACTCACCACCCCATCACACTTTTTATGTCCCTCATAACCACTTCCCATGTTTGTTGGGATATTGTTTATTTGTTTGTTTGCTAATTTACTGTCTGCTCCTGCACTGGTATGTCACCTTCAAGAGGGCAGGGATCATGTCTGTGTTTGCTGCTGTATTCCCCAACTCTGGCATAGTGCTTAGCACACAGTGCATTCTCAATAAGTATTTTGAATGAATGCAGTCTCCTATATGCCATGCACTTTCTCAATTATCACAGTAGTCCCATGTGATAGGCACTGTCACCTTCCCAAATTTCAGTTGAAGGCACTGAGGCAGTAGTTCCCA